CCATTTTATATTTTAAATTAATTGACGTCACTGTTTTATGTTTGGTGGTAAAGTACGAACTACTGGGTTGTTTCCTTTCTGATGGTCCTTGAACTCGTGTTCAGTCTGAAAACGGCGCCAGATCTGAGCTTCCAACCAGAATACTTCATCAAAATCACTTTATTCTCCATCTTCCTGTCAAACTGTAGTTTTTTTTTTTCTACTTTTGTTTTGACGCTGACGCCTCAGATCCAGTTCAGTTTCCACCAGCTGCAACCAGCAGCGTCCAAACACCTGACGGCGTGTTTTCCCGACAGGCAGCATCTCGCGGTTGCGTGAACCCCGAGCGTCCTGCGTCGGAGGCGGACAGCAGCACGGTGAGGCTGTTTGTGCAGCGTGAGTAAGTCGTGCTGCGGTTCGGCATCACATCTGGTTTGTGTTAAGTGCGACCGCGAGCTTTCCCAAGCTTCACCCGGCTTGTTGCCGTTGGCTGGAAGTAGGAAAACCTCAGTGACGGATCAGAAAGCCTCCACTCATCAAACGCCTGACATCTCTGTTATCGACCGAGCTGCCGCCGCATGTGGATCCATCCGCCGCCGGAAGTAGTGCCCGACAAATTTCCTCCTCTGCTTCAGGAAATTCCTGACGTTTTTCATTTTTGGAAGTGAAGCCGCAGAAACATATTAGTTCCTCAGTAGGAATGTCCAGAATGTTGCTGGAAACGTTTCCTTAAATTCCTCAGAAACTCGGACGCTTTGGTCAAACTCGACCTCCTCGGTGCTGCCGAGGTTCTTCACCGGCGGGTTCATTCGACTCATCGGCGCCCCGTGTGGCAGTTTACAGAAAAATCTGTTAATATTGTGATAAAAATTGTTGTCAGATGACATGAAAAGACTAAATTACTGTAGCGCAGATGTTTTATTACTGGTTATGGTGGTGGCAGCATCATGATGAAGCACGGCGGTGGCAGCATCATTTTCCATTTCTGCTGCCGACTCCTCCCCTTGCAGAACTTGTGGATTTCACTCAAGCTGCTAATTGTCTCCATTGTTTTGCAAATGGCGCTCACTCCACCAGAGGGGAGCCGTTAACACCTTTGGGGGGGTACGCGACACAAACTAGGTGCAGACTAAAGTCTGCACTTTGGGACTTTGGGTTAAAAGTTGATAAATGTGCGTTTTTATATCAGTTTTAACAGCGTTTGGTTTCATTTCTATCCTGTATCAGCGTGTTTTTATGTTTTACAGTGTTTCTAAAGTTGAATAAATATCCTTAAACCAACAACACGATTATTAAATGTTGTTATTTAGCTTCAAAATGAGTCCTTGTAGGTTCTGTTGTCTTTAAATTGGTTCAAACTGAATGAATGCGTCCATGTCTGCAGGTTTTAATCTGTCTTTTAGGGGAAATATGACAAACTTGTGTCAGAACCTGCAGCAGCTTTGAGTGTTTTCAGTGTTTTGTTGTTGGAGGACGTCTGAAAGCCGAGCAGGTGAGGACATGAAGCCTCCTCTGCTGCTATTCTTGCTGCTGAACTGCGCATGTGGACTCGTGCAGCTTCTGTGTGACGCAGCTCTGCAGCGGCCGCCGCCAGTTATTAGGACGCAACGCTGCTGCACATCATCAGTGGCTGCAAACAGCTTCAGCTGGTCGGACGCAGGCAGGAACCCAGACAGAAAAAACCAAAAAGAAAGAAAGAAAGAAAGAAAGAAAGAAAGAAAGATGGGGAAAATTAATGGATGCCTCAAGTGCCTCTTTGTCTTCTTCAACGTGATCTATGCGGTGAGTTTCTGCATCTTCACTTCAAGTTTTTGCTGCATTTTTAGCTTTTTTTCCAGCAAAAAAACAAAGAAAAACAACTTTTAGACTCTTAAATGTTCAGAAATGTGTTTGTTCAGGTGGAAAAAAATGGTTCCAAGAGATTTATGCAAAAAAAGAAAAGAAAAGAAAAAAACTTTAAATATGTTTTAAACAAATGGAAAAAAAAGATTCTTTGAAGTTTATTCGTTTCTTAGTATTTGTTTTTTTAATTTAACAACAAAAAAAACCAAACAAATTTTGGCTTCCAATTAAAGCTCAAGTGATTTTTTTATTGAATTGTTATTGCGCAACAATAACCACATCCAGACCTTGTTTGCTGCTGCTGCTGTTCGTAAACAGTCATTTCCAGTAAAACGGAGGCAGAGCAAAAAAAAAAACCCACCCCAAAAAGAGGGCTCGCCTTTCAGCCCCTGAGCCCGCCTTTTCCATTAGCGCCGCTGATGCTAATGAAAAAAAACAACAAAAAAACAGGTTGAAGCATCGGAGCAGGGAGGAGCAGCAGAGACCAGAGAGGAAAAGAAAAACAGCTAAAAGTCGACTTAAAACCCAACAAATGATGATTTAGTGCAAGAAAACCAAACGAAATGTGACTTTTTCAAACATTATTTTTATGATTTTTGCTTTTTTTTCATTTTTAAACTCCTAAACTTGCACTGCTCATAAGCAAGTGTATATATATGTATATAAATATATTTTCTTCTGCTTCTTTGCACCAATGGACCAAGTCAAATTCCTGGTGATGTAAAAATTACTTGGCAATAAAACTGATTCTGATTCTGATTCTGATTCTGATTCTGATACAGAAAAAAAAAAAGGTTCAATTTTCATCCTTATTTTGTTTTAAAAAATAAAAGTTTGCATCGAAAACAGGAAACAAATGGTGGCAGGTTGGACGTCACCCACCCCCACAGGCTGATTGAGTTTCTGGAAACTCTGGGTTTTACTGGGTTTGTGCAGGTTCTGTCAGGTCACGCTGGATGCTTTATTCTGGTTGTTTGTTTTTAAGGACTTTGTCGCCCCCAAGTGTCCAAAAGCAGAAACAACAAGAAGCTCTGCAGCCCTGCATGGAAAGTCCAAACCAGTTCAGTCTGAAGCCTTTAAATGGCTGTAAAGCATTAAAAATTAATATTAAAAATACACAGAAATATCAATAAATTACAAGAAGACACCGAATTTACACATTTATTGTTAAAGACATAAAAGATTTTTTGTGTGAAGTTGTGTAAAAAATCAGATTCTGTTTAATAACGGTGATAAATCTGTTAGTTTAAAGCTCCTTATAATATATACAAATTAATTTATGTTAAATAAGCAGCATTTTAATGTAAAGTTATGAGTAAAACTTTATATTAAGAGCAGTTTGAAACCAGCAATATTTTTCCTAAAATTATCAACATTATTATTATTATGATTTGTATTTTAATATTTATTAAACTGGATTTCGAGGTAATTTGTTAAACATTAAAAAGCCAATTTAAGCCAATAATGTAAAATTAATGTGATAAACTGCACGTTCATTATATAAAATGACTCTTATTTTGAAATAGGGTTCATTTCTTACAGTAGTTTTTGGTTCTTTAGCTGCTGTGATATACAGATTTTTAATTTTTTTTTTTTTTTTTACGATGCTTTGTTTCGTTACTGCTCACTAAAGCAACGATGCGATTCGTAAATGTGTTAATTAACATTTATATTAGATTTTGTGGCTTTAAACGGGTTTAAAGTTGATGAATGTGTCATTTTAAAGCAGTTTTTTTTATGAATAATCGCTTCAGATTTGTGACTTTTCTGCATTAATTTGTTTGAGAAATGTGTTAATATAAAAGAAAACACGGATCTAATCGTATCTTATCAGTGAACGCTGAGACCCGCCCAGTCTGGGGCGCCGGTTTGTCTGGGTTTGTTCTGATTATTGTGTCTTTCTGCATCGTTTAATCACATCTGATGTTGTTTCTGCGTTTAAGATGAAGTTCAGTTGGTTTCAATTAAAAAAATAAAAATAAAAAATGTCTCAGATTTGCTAACATGTTTGGTGTTGCCTCCTCAGATCTTCGGATGTGTTCTGGTGTACGCGACGGCGAAGGCCACCGTCTACAGCAGCCAGGTAAACAACAACAACAACAACAACAACAACAGCAAACCTGGAACCAACGTGTTGCCGAGGCCGTAATTGCTGTTTTTCAGATGATTTTTTGTCCAGAACTGAAGAAAACACGACATTTTGAAGGCTGATACCGATCTCATGTCTGTACAGTGATTATGCAGGTGGAGCTAGCAGCCCATTAGCTTAGCTTAGCATTAAAACTGAAAGGGTGGCCAAATTCCAGACAAGAGCCTTTAAAATTGCACTCTACAAACACCAGTGGCTTTGTCCATCTTTATATACAGTCTGCGTCATGAACCTACCAGGGCAATTATGCAGGTGGAGCTAGAAACTGGTTAGCTTAGCTTAGCATTGAAACTGAAAATGGTGGTCAAACTCCAAACTCAAGCTTCGAAAAATAAAGTCCACAATAGTCTACGTTATAAACCTACGAGTGCAATTATGCTGTTGGAGCTAGCAACTGGCTAGCTTAGCTTAGCAGAAAAACTGAAAGCAGAGGCCAAAATCAAATTCGAGCCTTCAAAATTGCACTCTACAAATGGTTGTGACTGCATCTATCTTTATTTATAGTCTACATTAAAAACCTACAAGGTTAATTGTCCAAGTAGAGCTAGCAGCTGGTTAGCTTAGCTTAGCATAAACACTGGAAACAGATTCCAAAGTTGATTCTTTAAAATGGCAGTCCACAAATTCCTGTGCCTGTCGCATCCATCTTTCTATACAGCCTATGCATCAAAAATACAAGGGTGATTACGCAGGTGGAGGTAGAAACTAGTTAGCTTAGCTTAGCATAAGCACTGAAAGCAGCAGCCAAATTCTAGACAAGAGCCTTGTCCATGTTTATTTAGAGTCTATGTCATAACCCTACGAGGGTGATTTAACAGGTGGAGCTAGCAAATGATTAGGTTAGCTTAGCATAAACACTGAAAGCAGATTCCAAACTTAATTCTTTAAAATTGCAATACACAAATTCCTGTTGCCATGTCTATCTTTATGTAGAG